AGGAAGAAACCTTGGGAGGGACCAGACTCAAAGGGGGAGCCCATCCTCCAGGGGCCGGCAGGGAGAGCCCAGGTCCATCCGACGACACGTAGAGCTCGATACCGTTCTTTCATACAGCACACGGACATACAGCTGTTACATGCTGCTCTGGTGCCAGTCACAGAGCATCTATAACACATCACCATGAAATAAAGAGATCAGGCCCGACAGCATGCAGAACAGACACTGAAGCGGAACCTAAGGGATGACTGCAAGTCAGCTCTGGAGAAGGGGTGATGGTCTTGGGGACACTGACGAGGACAAACCTCGGAGGTGACCCCTGTGACCCCGAATGGGCCCAGGCTCCGATGGAGGACGTTGATGTTGAGAGAGCGGATGACCTCTCTGGAGGGGAGGGGCTCCCCCAGCCCAGGTCCATCCGACGACACGTAGAGCTCGATACCGTTCTTTCTCTCCTGGGAAAGAGAGCAGACTCCATCAGTACCCTGCTGTCACCCCAAAATGACTTACTGTGAAAAACATGATTTGTCTATATTCAGTCAATGATTTTGTGAGTCAATCCATTTTAGGTGCACCTAGAATCATCTGTCAATGTACAACACCATACGGATTTTAGAATCACATATGAGAATGACAATCTCAAGGTTAAAATATAATTAACCAGTATATAAAAGGTAAAAATCCATAAATAGTGAATTTGTTAACAGCAGCATATGCTCAGGATTAGCATAGGGTAAGTCCTATAGAGAATGGCCAGCAAGGTCCAGCTAAATAGCAGCTCCTGCCGGCTCTGAGCTCTTCAATCGAATACAAAACTATAGAGACTGGCAAAGCACAGCACTATTAGCAAGCTATCGGATGTCACCAAAAGACGCTGCTATTTGGCAAAAAACTATAATGCTTGGAAAAGTTAATGTTAAAACAAGATGGAAGGACTGAACATTCGCGATGAACGTGCTTTTCGGAAGGCTGAAGATTCAGACGGAAGACGCTAAGCGTGTTCCGTTAGCGTTAGCAGAGACCTGCTATCACCCGAACTGCCTGAAGTCCTTGTCAATGAATTCTGCGTGGCCGTTATGTCTTCCTATTCGTTAGGATCGAAGTTACAGGTGATGGAAGGGTTTCCCTCGATTGATCTTACATCCAGGCCGTTGATGTGCACTCTCTGGGGGAGCACGTCCAGGGCAGCGGCCATGCCCTCCCGGAAGGAGCGCAACAAGGACATGTTCAGCTTGCGGACGTCCATCTGCAGGGCCTGGGTGGGAGGGAGGCAGGGGCAAGTTGTCATAGAAACACCAACAAAAGCACATTCATTTTTAATTTTAGTGCATTTGGTCATGGCCACTGGATGCATGTCTGAAGTCTGAGGATCAGCTTAGAATTGCTGGAGTACATGAAAGGTCACAGGGTAAAGGGGTGGGGGGGGGGGGGCGGTTCTGATGCAGTCAGGGTGACCCCCATGTCACCAGCCCCACCATCCCCCTAAGGGGCAAGTTTGGCTCCTGTGAAACGTAGCCGTTAGATCCGCCTGTGGGTGGCGTCGGTGTTGAGGGCAATCCCTCAGAAGATCAAAGCCTGCATGTGCGTTCCAACGGCAGCCGTGCGCTCACCTCACAGGAGGGGGGGGGATTACAGAACCCCCACCCCCCGGCCCAGCTGTGGCCGCTTTACATTTTGGGCTGGCTGGTGCCGTATCCAAGTAACCAGACCATGCAAACGAGGCTGGCGCTCTGCAAATGGCCGTCCCGGCAACTAAACCATCACATAAACAAACATCTAACGCCCCCCTGCCACCGTATCGCGGCCACTGGAGGGCAAGGCAGGCAGGCAGCGTGACTGGCGGTAACGGGGAGGGAGAACTGACCCTCAGCAACAGGAGAAAAGCTACCAGTGGAACAGCATGGACTGTGTACATCAGGAAAGCAGTACGTATCACGGGGGGTTCCGGTGAGG